TGAGAAATGTCTGTTCATTTCAGATGCCCATTTTTGTATTGGATCTTTGAATTTGGGGAGTCTGATTTTTTTGAGTTCTTTATATATTCCAGATAGTAGTCCTTTGTCTGAGGTACAGCTACTAAAAATTATTTCCGACATTGTAGGTTGTCTCTTAGCTCTGTTGGTGGTTTCTTTTGCAGTGCAGAAGCTCGAAAAGTTAATTTTAATATCTACCACTTTAATAAAATTTTATAAAGATGACATTGTTGACTGAAGTTTGCAATTCTGAAGTTAAGTGATCTTAAATGTTAAAGCAGCTTTAATAGAGTTAGAAGAATAAAAGGTATTTGTAGTTCCAGTCTAAAAGCTTATCTTGATGATGTTGCCATTAAAAATTCTCTAGAATAGATACAAACTGGAATATTTTGATCTGAGAACAAAGCTGTAAATTTTACCAATACTTTTGGATTGAAGATTTAAATTTATTATTTGCAATTAAAGGAAAGATATAATTCTTCCTACTTCTCAATATTCCATATTTAAAGTAACTTTCTATTCTATACCTACTCTTAAAGTTATGATTTTTGAAATATAATTACTTACTAATAATTTGATTTTGGTGAGGGATGGTGCCTTTCCAATATTTTTGTTAAAAACTATACAAAAGAGTGCAGGGTGAAAATCACTGCAAATTAATTTACCTATAGTATGTCATCTCTCCGTTAAATTATGTCATTACTCTTTTCTTCACTGAAGGCCCAAAATGTTCAGTAACTTTAAACAATCTTTGACATGTTTACTTGGTTAGAAGCTGATAGCTAACAGTATTCCCCAAAACAAAATGAAACTAAATGAAACATTTGGACCCTCTGTGTCAAAGAAACCTGCTATACTTTCCCTTAAATACCTGAACAGGAGGGAAACGCAGTACGAACCTCAGCCCTGCACCCCTGCACCTCCAAGGTGTCTGCAGAGCTGATAGTGGAGGTCTGCTGGCCCCCAGTGGCCAGTGTCTCAGAGGGACCCTGCCCTGCTGGTCACAGCTCAACCCAGCAGCCTCTCAGCAAACCCCCTTCACAGGGAAGTTCTTCGTTATCCTTCAGCCTCTGGGAGGCTTAGGTATTTTTCTCTTTCTATTATTTGTCTCTTTTGATTAAAAGAGTTTTTTTTTTAATCCTGGTCTAAATACACTTGATCTTAGCCAAAAGGCCGAGAAGTGATTATCCTGGTCTAAATAAACACATACCATTTAGCCGTCTCTGGAGTGCTTCTTCCTCTAGGGTAATAATATAAATTTGCTCATCCAGGTCTTCAAGAATCTAAATTTAAGGATAAAACTATTCAATAATGTAACATTACAAAGTCTGTGTTTATGAAAATGTTTAGGCTACTTGGTCTATTATTTTAAATAATGTATTCACTGGGCCGGGGATTTAGCTCAGTGGTTCCGGCACCTGCCTTGCAAGCCCAAGGTCCTGAGTTCAATCCCTGGTACCAAAAAAATAAAAATGTATTCACTGAAATAACTAAGAATCCAAAATAAAAATGCTCAAAACTATTTTTCATAAATTAAGTATATTTTCAAGTTTATGTTTAATACTTTCACATTTTAATTATATAACTAAACACATCAAAACTTGACTACCCTGGGCTGGGGATTTAGCTCAGTGGTTCTGCTGCCTGCCTCGCAAGCACAAGGACCCGAGTTCGATCCCCGGTACCAAAAAAAAAAACAAAGAAACTTAACTACCCAAAAATCTACATATATTTAAATTAGAGGCTTGGTGGGGGGCAGTACTGGTGACTGAGTCCAGGGCTTTTGCACTGAACTACCTCCCCAGTCCCTCAGACAGAATCTCACTAAGTTGCTGAGGCTGAGCTCAAACTTGTGATCCTCTTGCTTCAGTCTCCCAGCGTGCTGGTTTTACAGGTGTGCAGTACCAGATAAACAGGATATTTTTTAAGTTTAAAGGATTAAAATAAAGAATTCTGCAGATTTCTCAATGGCAAACAAATATATAAATTTTATTGCTGTGGGGTTTTTTGTTGTTGTTGTTTTTGTTTTGTTTTTTGGTAATGGGGATGGAACTCGGGCCCTTGCCCTTGTGGAGCAGGCAGCAGAACCACTGAGCTAAATCCCCAGCCCTAAATATATAAATTTTAAATAGCCAAAAAGCTAAAAAAAAGAAAATATATCTTTATGCCCAGGCCATTATTTTAGAGCTAAAAGTAATAGATCATCTAATCTAGCCCAACATTTGTTCTCCCATTTATGGTTACTTACATAATAACTAAAGCAAGAAACAAAGTACATCAGTGACATGCAGAACCTTCATCATTATATACTAGAGATATTCCACAAATGGAACCCTAAAAACCATTTAGTGTGGACATGACTAATGCAGGACACACGCAGGTAGAGAAATGTCACAATGACCCCTATTAATGTGTGCAATTAATATTTGTTCAGTGTTATAATTTTAAAAGTAAATAGATTGAGAACCAAAAAATAATAAGAAGAAGAATAAAAACCCAAAAAGTCACCCAACAGAACCCTGCTGAAATGGTGTGTTTACATATAAACCATTCATTACCAAGTCATTTAGCAGTATGGAAAACAAGTCACTAAAAATCACTAGTTGTATGGAATATTATCTACACTGTCTTCAAAATTGATAAAACCTAAAATGTGTTCAATTCTAGCTTTGTTAATACAGCTGTGTCTCTATGAGTTGTCTCTCTCTCTGTCTCTCTCTCCCTCCTCCCCGCCTTTTCTCTTTCTCCTCAGCTCTGGGGAAAATGTTAAAGAAGCCAAGAACTGATTTCAATGTTCTCTATCATTCAAACCCCAACAACTTATTCTCAACAAAACATATCTGTGTGCCTTTCTACGGCCTGATGAGACAGTTTCAAATTATGCAGTCCTTTTCCAGGCCTCAAATTTACATAGTTCATGTGAAATTTATGTCAAGCAATCCAAAAATTCCCAATCCCTTTTTTTTTTCCCCAAAATTCTCAATCTTTCAACAATACCTGAGGTTCCCTGTAGCCCAGCACTCAACTAATCACTGGCAGACATACTATCTCTACCCTTGGGAAGCCTAAACCTGAGAGAGGAGAACAAATAGTAAGGATAAATTAATATAAACAAATGCGTAACAAAGAATCCTCATCCCATGAGGGACAAGGGAGGAGAAGGAAAGGAGAAGGGGAGACCCTGCCCTTCCAGTGAGGCCTCTCCAGGGACAAGACAAGTGCCACATGCCAGCCAGTACACGTGACGGTCCTGAGAGGGGAGAAGGTAACCCACTGACAGGATTGACTGGACGACGATTAAGAGTAGGAACCCTTGAGAGTGTCCCTACGCGTGAGTAGGAAGCTTCTTTTTAACCATGCTTCTCACTATTTCTATTGTTTAGATGAGAACTATTTTTACCCGTCAAATGAATTTTTATGTTACTGTGCAAATTATCAAATAATTACTTATGACCACAGACAACTCACAACTTGAGACCTGCACAGGGATGTGCGTCAAGTGCCTATGAACATCACTCTCCTTGCTTTCTACAACAATTCTATGAGAAACAGACTGTCATCACCATTTTGTATTCCAAGAAACAGAAGTTTCCCAAAGGCCTATGTTTATAACTACTATAGGCCAATGAGGGCTTACATGCAGGTAACACACAGTCCTGACCTCAAATGGTACCAGAAGAGAGAAGATGAATTAAAAAATAACCACAGGATTAAAATTAATGTCTAAGTTGAGTCTAAAAATGTTACAGAATGTCAGAGGCAGAAAGTTATTTCCAGTAGGAGAGAGAAAAGTCTGGCCAGTGTTCCTAATGGTTGTAGCACCTCACCTGAGAGCCTGAATTACCAACAGGAGGGCAGGCAATGCAAGCAGAGGAAGCCAGATGAGAACACAGACATGCAAGGACCCCTCAGCAAGAAAGCAGCTGTATTGCTCTGGGGCTCACAGAGGAATAGAGCAGTGCTCCACAGCTGGCCTCTGAAGCCAGCCTCAGGGTTCAGACCTGCCCCATCATATCCTGTGAAATCAGGACACGCTACTCAACCTCCTGACCTGAAGTGAATTCGCCATCAAATGAGAACATGACCAGGGGTTTGTCATTAAGATGAAATTAAATTCTGGGTGCCAAATACAGAGTTTATCACTACATGTAGTATATAATCAATCACTGACCATTGGGACTGGATGGAAGGACAGGAAAAGAGGCAAAAATAACTAAGAGTTTTGCAGATACTGTAAGAGATACAGGTGGGAGAAAAATGAGCCTGGGGAGCAGAGATCAATACACAGTTTGGTATCACAGAGATTGAGTCTACAGCTCCATGGAGCACCAGCAGCACTCAACATGCCATAAGTTACTTCCATGGTCTCTTCCTCATTAGAACTAGACGTTGAGGGGCAAGTGGAGAGATGGTCCAGAGCAGAGTAGTTACTCAATGTTAGAGCACAAACAGACCCATAAATATCTCTATAGGAAATGGACATGGAGAAAGAGATCAAAAAACCAAAAAAGTAAGAAGAAATTAAAACATAGCTTTATAAAACCTCTTTAAGAGGGATGTGAATTTCAAGGCTTGACGCATGCATCGTGTTGTATTTGACTGTGCATTCATTTACTGAGCAAGTAAGATAGCAGGTTTTATTTTAAAAAGAAGGCACGGGCAAAGAGGTAGGGGTGAAGGGAGGGGAAGGGGAAAGGAAAGAAGGGAAAGGAAAAATTATGAGAAAAGAAAAAAAATGGAAATGATGTCTATGTAAATAGGGAAGGGTGGAAGGGATGAAGGGCGCACAGGGAATGGGGAAAAAATAAGAACCAAGATATACATCATGTACAGGTACAAACACCCAATGGTAAATGTAAACTTACTGTATACCTGAAATGTACCAATAAAAGAACTTAGAAAAAAAACGGGGGGCCAGGGATGTAGCTTAGTGGTTCTGCTGCTTGCCTTGCAAGCACAAGGACCCAAGTTCGATCCCCGGTACCAAAAACAAAGAAGAAACCATAACTTTCAAAATCAAACAAGTATTTACTAAAAAATTATCTGATGTTAACACTCCTCAGTGTTTTCCCTTATGAATCACCACAGAGGGAACCCAACCCCAACACCCAAATGACTTGGGAATAAAGGATAGAAGCTAAGGGGAGGGAAGAGTAGTGCAGGAAGTGTCTGATCATATGTGCCTAGAGAGAGGAGACAGGGCTCCAGACACTCAGCAGCTACAGAGGCTACTGGGGCTGGGCAGGGAAGAGGCCTGGAGGGGTAGAGGCTGCCCAGAGAGAGGAAGCACAGCCATGACAGGTGGGGGTCAGTGCAGGGGACAGGTGCGAGTCTGCACAGCACAGGCTATGAAAGCCTATAGTGGGAAAGTAGCTCAGACTTGAGTCTGTAGGAAGGAGGATCCAGGAAAGAATTTAAATAACAAATGCCCTAGGTACAGCTAAGCAGTTATTTTCATATTATTAAATAACAAAAAAAATAACAACATAAAGACCAAAGAAATTTAGGAATAGTCATTAGAATTAGTACTAGGTGAAAATCATTTTAAAATAAATAGTATTTCTGAGATAAAAGGCAAAGTATAATTCAATGAATGAAGATATAATATACATATTTTTTAGGAATACACCTGCTCTATAAATCAAAGCATATATATGGTAAATTATTATTTGACATAAGGTAATGAATATCTAAAATACCTGTAGATAAGAGCAAATTTTACCTTAAAATTGGCTAGACAAATTTTTATCCAAATGCCTATAGTATTTTAAAAGCAAAAATATTTGGTTTCCAAAGATATAAGGGACTTTTTAAAAAATGGTAACAATTTGAGTAATAAACGTATAAAAATATTGTTTCTAAATGTTAGCTCACATCTAAGAGATGTTTAAATGTAAACACATGTATTTAATCAACAAAATAATTTATAATGAAATACTTACTGTTGGCTTCACTAGCAACTGACCCATGACTGTGAACATGCGGGAGAGGCCCACTGGTGTGCACACTGCAGGAATAAGAGCAGACTGGACCTCAGAGCTCAGGTAGAAAAACTATCAGCCCACAGAGAAATATGGTAGCCCAAGCATCACAGTCTTAAGTGCATTCAGTCTCCCCGTTAGAGGCTCCCAGGGCTTTGGTCAGAGGGTTCTTCAGCTTTATCAACAGAGAAACTAGAAGGGCAGTGTGAGGAGGCTGGGCATTACCACATTTAACGAAAGATATGTGCAGACGAAATAAGGCTTAAAATAGTCAAGATTCTAGCAGCTGAGTAGCAATAAGTATTTTTGCTTAAAAGAAAAAGAACAGACTGTACTAAACTGAGAATCAGAATAGATACATACAGTCTTAAGTCCTTGGAACTATGTTTCACACCTTACAACATCCCTGAGACAGGATGTGATGCCTCAAGTAAGACAAAGCAAGTTTTCAAATAAAGCCACATAATCATCATATAGAAGTCAATCATTTCCACTTAAAAGCAGACTTGAGTGTTGTGATGGAAGCAGGGTGGGATGTACGGCATGTGTATATAGGTATGTACGTTTAGTGTATGCATGTGTATGAGCATGGGGGATGTGTCTCTCCAACCCAGTGGAAAAGACTTTCCTTGGAGAACAACAAAAATCCCTTATTAATTCAAGGCTTCAATTTATCAAAATTTATCTTGAATAATAAAATACTTTAGTGCAAACTCAAAACAATCTCCAAGTTGTTAAGAAATCTCACCAGGAAACTTTCCCATAAATTTCCAGAATACAGCACAATTCTACTTTCCTATCAATATGAGTCAGAAAAATACTTACAGAGAAGTAACAAACATCCCATCAATGATATACAGGAATACAAATAGGGTAGATAGAACTCCCAGAGATCTATAAAAATATAAATACATTTTAATAAGTTCAAATTACTGTATATTAAATGTATAATAAATGCTATAACTGCATATTTTGAGTGTATTAAACCATACATAATTTCTAAATTATAGAATAAAAAGATCTAAAATAGGAAAACAGAAAATAAACCTTTTGCAAAACCCTGTTTAGAAGTAGGAAAGAAACCTCCATGGAATTTTTAAAGAAGAAACCAATTAATCAAAAAAAAAATCTGATATGCTTTGTTCTTCTGCATATATGAAACAAATAAACATTAATTTTCTTTTCTGAATATATCGAAAGACTTCTCAATTCTACAAATTAACATTAAGGGTTAAGTATACCAAGATTTAAAAGTCCTAGGTCACTATACCCCATCCTATCCAGGACAGACGCTAGTTACAGCAAGGACATCTATACCATATAAAGACTCCATGCTAGCTGCGTCATTGTCAATCAGCGCCGAAGCCACCCACACTATGCCGAGAATCAGTAACGCAAGAAGCAGCAGCATGACCAGCGTCTCCAAAACACGGGCTCGGATTCCCTGAAACATGTAACGGACATATAATTTTAAGATTTTCTTTCATAAACAATTAGACTTCTGTCTATACGAAAGCACAAAATAATTGGTAGGAAAGAAAATTTATATTTATTAAATTTATATTATAAACATCACATCTAAATTTACACTTTTTAGAAAAACACTAAATGCTTACAGTTTATAATGTTTAGGTTTCAAAATTATAAAAATGTTTTAAGCTTGAAATAAAGTACAAAAATCTTCTTCACAAAAATATTTTACAGAACCGTTTTAACAGCTGATTACTTTCCTAACACCTTCCTCAAAGAAAGTTGATTCATGAACTTCTCTGTGATTCTGAGGACTCTCCGTGGGGCAAAAGCACACGGTGCTCTTCCCAGCAGGGCTCACTCCATGGAGCTCCTCTCAGCCTCTGGAGCCCTCTAGTGTGCAAATGAAGAATCATCCCCTGTAATCCAACATCACAAACGCTACGGCCAGCTATCAATTACACATCATTTCTTTCGTTCCTCTTATTAGTGTATGTTTGCAATACAGGAGAGTGGTGTTTGTTGGAAGGAACTGGTAATGTGTATAATGTATCCTGATCACCTCAATCCCTTTTCCCAGTCCCCTTCAATGCCCTTCTCCAAGTCTCCCTTACTTTATACTCTCCTTTATTTTACTCATATTTTTATTTTATTTATATTTTAGGTTTCTCCTTTTCTTATATGATATATAATTTTCATTAATTCATGAGGCTGGAAAATATAATAAAGAATCATTATACATATTCTAAATATAAAATAAATTCTGACCTCAGGGCCAAACTAGAGGCCAGACTTTTAAATTTGAAAAAATTTGCCTGGCATGGCAAAAAGAGAAATTGCCTTCTAGTCCCAAAAGTCACCAGGTGACTTTTTCTATACCTAAATGTAAAGATTTATACTGATATTTTGTACTTGCAACACCTAACACAACAAAAAGTATATCTATGGGCTGGGGATTTAGCTTAGTGGTTTCACCGCCTGCTGTGCAAGCGCAAGGACCCGAGTTTGATCGCCGGTACCAAAAAAACAAAAAAAGAAAACAAAAAGTATATTTATGTTTCTCATACATCATGTAACCTTACATTCCACATTACAATAGTTTAAAGATGGAAGTTAATAAAACCCAACACATGTAATCACTTCAGTTTTGGTCTATTCTTTTCCAACATCTGAATTTCAGGGATAGAGCATACTTAATTATAGCATCTCAGTTCAGCAAATCTAATACAGAACAGAAATGTCTGCAGAGAAGTGTTCCCAGCCCCTACAATGGCCTCAGAGGGGAAGTGGCATTTTCTTACCAGTGTCACAGTCTTACCACAGGGCTGCCCTTGGCAGGCTTCAAATACTTCCAGAGATGTGAGTACCAGCTCACCTAGGTGTTTCCCGGGAGACCAGTAAGCCAGAAGGAAGCAGGTTTGCATCTTAACACATAGCTCTACTGGGAGTCAGCCATTATTCGAGGAGAAGAAACAGAAGCAGTCATAGAACACGCTATGACCAAACATGCTGTGGCCAGGCACACTACTACTTTAGTGCAGAACCCTTTATCCTCCACTTCAAAGCTTCCAAACTATTCAGGATACCAAAACACGACTGCCACCTTTCAATAGTGATTTCTCCCTCTCCTCCTTCCTTTCTCTTTTTCCAAGCAATAGTCCTTTTATTACACATTAAACATTTTGGGGTGTGCCTATAAATAAGGCAATAAGAGGAGGGTGCTCTGGCAGGATATGCTACACTTCCAGCTGTCTTCCCCAGTCCCCATCAGGCCCTGAGGAGTATGCACTAACCAGCAGGGCTTCCCAAACACAACACACACACTTTATGTGTCAGGCTATCTGAGCTACACAGTACGATGGTGCTGAGTTATAATACAGGAACTATACAGTGGGGCTTTTGGGAACTGTCTGAAACTTGATGTCCAAAAAGTAGTTTTTAAAATTATAACAGGCTAGTGAAGACTAAACCTATGTAGAAACACAGATTTTTATTTTAGAAATACTGAGCAGGCACTCTAACCACTGACATGTCATCGTTGCTTCTTGCCTGGACTCTGCTGCGCAGTGCCACATGTAACTGCTCTACACTGCATGTCAGTGAGGTGAAAATTGCAATGCATTGACAAACATTCTACCAAGAAGCTGGTATGCTTCCATGGTGATCCATTTACACATGGTTCGCCCGACATCCTACACTCCTGTAAGAGAGGCAAATATCACATTTTTACAGCAAAGCAGAAAAATATTAAGGTTTAGAATATAAAACAATGCCACATGACAACATAAAGTGTCACAGTGCTTATGTGCTGAATATATTTATACAAAAGTACTAGCGGACCAGGGATTTAGTTCAGTGGCACCATATCTGCCTCGAAAGCTCAAGGAACTGATTTCGATTCCCAGGACCAAAAAAAAAAGTACTAGTAATTTCAAAATACAAGGAAGAGCTATCCTGCAAGGCAGGGAACAGAAGAAGACATATGCACACACAGTTTAACTCCAAACCGGCCTGAGGGCAGCCCTGCTAGGCCCATCTCTCCCTGACTTTCACATTTCCTAAATCTCTCTATAAATGCCAGTGACTTTGGGTGGTGTGCATATGTATACGCAGGTAGGTACGTTTCATATTTTCCAGTTTTTTCACATTTTTCCATAATCAATCAATTGGTACATTGTGTTGTGTGTTATTAGCCTTTGTTTGGTTAATGTAAGCCAATCCCTAAGAAATGAATCACCTTTTTCTTTTCTGTGTTTAAACAATAAGAAGTATATGTTAGCTTTGTCTATTAACTGTGTCTATTAGATATCTGTTGATATACCACCCAACCTGAAAGATTACTATGACCATTGTAGCATCCATGTGGCCCTCCCAGAGACACCAACTTTCTGCACCAACCTACTCCAAAGTAACCACAAACACTACCATGTTCATCTTTACTTTTTTTTAATTGAGGTAAAATACACCTAACAAAATCCCCCATTTTACCCTTTTTTTTTTTTTGGTACCAGGGATCAAACTCAGGAACTTGCGCTTGTGAGGCAGACACAGTGCCACTAAGCTAAATTCCCAGCCCGGCCTTGTTTAAGGGCACAGGTTCAGCAGCAGTATGTGCATTCATACTTTGTAGTGCCATTTCCAGAACTCTTTTTATCTTCACCAGTGGAAACTGGAGGTTGTGAAACAGTAACTCCCCACTCTGTCTTCTCTTAGCCCTGGCAACCTCCACTCTACTTCCTGCCTCTGTGAGTGTGGCTGCTGTAGATACCTTATCTAGATGGAACGATACAGTATCTGTTCTTTGGGACTGGCTTGTTTCACCCAGCACAAGGTTTTCAAGGTTAACCTTCAGCATACTGTAGCATGTGTCAGAATTTCCCTCCTTAAGACTGAACCATACCCCTCCATCCAATGCACCACATGCTGTTCCATCTACTATTACACCCACGGACAGCTGATGGCTTCCACTCCTTCACTAATGTAAATAACATTGCTGTAAAGTAGGGATACAAACATCTGCTGGAGGCCCCGCTTTCAACTCTTCTGCACATTCACCCAGAAGAGGAATCACTGGATCAAGTGGTAAATCTACTTTTCATCTTTTGAGGAACCACCCTATTTGTTTCTATGTCAGCTATACCATTTTACATTCTTATCAATGATGCACAAGAATTTGCATTTCTCTACATCCTCACCACTGATTATGACTACTTTCTGGGCTTTTCTGCTAGAAGCCATCCTACTAAATGTAAAGTGGCATCTCATTATAGCATTGATCTGCAATTAGTAATATTGAACATCTTTTTGTGTACTTATTGGCCATTTGTATATTTTACTTGAAGAAATGTCTATTCAAAATATTCCCTTGCTTTTAATAAATTCTTGGTTTTTTGCTCTTTCATAAAATTTTTACTGCTTGTCATATTCTGTAAGAAAATCTTACTACTTTTATTAGATTGTATAGACTCAAAATCATTAATATAGAATATCCACCCATATATGTCATCTGTAATATCTTTCAACAAGATGTTTTTGTTTCTATACAGGTTTTAAGCATTACTTGTTAAGATTTATTTCAACATACCTGAGGCTGTCTTGCTATTATAATAGGTATTATAGGTATTTTTAATTAAAATTTTTCTTTATTATTGATATTTATTGATTTTATATATTAACCCTATATGCCACTTTCTTGTTCAATTTTATTTGAAATAATAAATGACCTTTAGATTTTATAGGATCTTCTTAATGATTATTTTGCTTGTTCGTCTGAATTTTTCCTTTGTCTTAGAGTTCTAACATAGTATGATTATTAGAAATAAAAATATTTAAAATGAGGGAAGGGGATTTAGCTCAGTGGCGCCATGCCTGCCTCACAAGCACAAGGTCCTGAGTTTGATCCCCAGTACCAAAAATATATATATATTTAAAATAAGATCCCAACTTTAAAATGAATATTTTTAATATTTAATCATTCAGTGTTATGTCAGTTGTTAACTGAGGGTAGATATGCATTATCAAGTTAAGAAAATTCCCTTTCGTTACTACTTTGCTTTTTAATCATGATTAGATATTGATTTTACTGAATATATTTTGTCTCTTTTGAAAAGCCCACTTTTTATCATTTACTTTTCTAATTTGAATTATAATCACAGATTCTCTAGTGTTAAACCAATCTTGTAAGTCTGAAATAATTTTTGATGATTTTTATGTACACGGCTAGATTCAGTTTAACATTTTCTGACTCACAAGTATTCACAAATAAGAAAGATATATAGTGTTCCTTTCTCATACTATTCTCACAGGTTTTCAGTATCAGAATTAAGTATGAGACAATTTGTATAAGATTAAAATTATCTGTTCTTTGAAGTCTGGTAGATATGTACAAGAAACTATGTGGACTTTCTGTATTGTAGGAAAACTTAAATTCTGACTCAATGTCAATAATTTGTAAAAAAATTCAGATTCTATTTC